TTGTCAGTTGGCGTGTTCAGTTCTTCTTCTTCTGCGGCATTCTCCTCTGTGGCGACTTTAAAGGGTTTTAACATCAGACGCCTTAGATCTCATTTCATTTAACTAAACTTATCGACAAGCCGACCAGTGGTGACCGGACCTTAGATCTGGTGTTAACCAGCTTGCCTTAGTTTTACGATAAAAATTCTGTACAAATCTTACCACCGTTCGGTTTGTCAGTTCTTCTCTAATTTGCGAAAGCATCGCCGTGCAGTTTCCCAGGGCAGTTTCTAACCGTTGTTCCGCAGAGAGCAAACTGCTCTTGTTGGAGAAAGATTCTCCTTCCTCGAGGACAACGAAAAGTTCGTTTTTCAGTAGGTCGGCCCTCTTTGGTAACGTTTCCCGTTTTCTGGTAGGCGCAACAAACGCATTTTCCGACCTTATCCATCCATTCGTAAAATTGCCGAAATGTGTTTTGAAACAACAGCCGCACATTCTACAATTTGTCCAAAGCCCTTGGCTCTTTTCGGCTTTCTCCCTCTTCGAGGAGCAGGCACAGGCTTTGTTGTCGTACTGCCTCTTTCACTCATTTTTGATCCTCCACTATATATACTACATTTCACTATATACACTACATTTCACAGGAAAGCAACGCTAAAAACTGCTTTAGAATTACTGGATTACAGCGTCAATAATAACACGCGAGTCTATCAAATTCACAAAGAGGGCGGAGTTGCGAACAGATTTTTGACAGCTCGACGACATTTTTGAACCCCCTGGTCGGAACGAACTCATTGTATGGAAAACGGACAGTCGGTTTTTTTTCTCTCGCCTCACACGTGTGAGGCTCGCGCGCTTCGCGCGCGCAAGACTCTTACACCACGCTTTACCGATTTCTTTACTGATTTTGAGAAAAAAACCGACTGTTTTGCAGTCTACAAAGGTTTCGGCCTACCTATTCCTCGTGCTGTAGCCTTCTGGGTGGCCGACTTCTTAACGCATAGACAACAACGCGCTAAAATGTCTGGAGACTGTTTTTCTGAGTGGGGCCCTGTTCCTGATGGTGTGCCTCAAGGAACCAAACTAGTCCTATCGCTATTCCTCAGGGTTCCCAGATTTGACATATGGAAGTACGTTGATGGTACTATTATACCATTTTTCGAAGAACCTAATCAATAGTGCTATAGCCACTTTATATTTTGTCGATATACGCTCCACTCACCTGTTTTAATTTTTGGCAGCTACTGACGCAAATAATAAGATACGGCATACGATAGGAAATAGCCAAAGGGAGTAGCGGGCTTTTTTGCGATTCCACAGTACCGAAGTCCTGATCCTCTTTGATGATGTTCCCACAGGCCATCATACTCGTATCACCCGGCCTGTGGTACCCGGGGTAAAGGCAGGCACATTGCTGATTTAAAATGATTGCCATTACCATAGGTCACGCCAAATAACTTATAAGTAGTAAGTGAGCCATTTAAAGCTTTGATGGTGATATCATCAGGAAGGTGACAGACTTCTGAAATGCGCCCATGTCTTGAAAGAATGTCAACATTAAATGGCAAGGCAAGGGGCATTCCTTCAATGAAAACCCGTAAAAATTCTGACCTTAAGCTGTCACGTATTAGACGGAGGGTGTAAGACATTATTCGTTATGTAGCATTATTTTATGTTGTTCATGTAATTCATTGACTTCTGAAATATGTGAGTAGTAATGATAAATATAGCAAAGTTTGAAGAATATTATTTGTTTAATGCCTGGTATATGAAGTTGTGCAGTAGGACAAAATGTTGACAAGTAACGTTGAGATTTAATTGCCACAATAATTCCCATTTTTTTTTTTTCAAGAAAGAAACGGTTATTTTCAGATTTGTTATACAGAGTGACCATGCCACTTTTATTTACCAAGTACCAAGTACCCAGATCGTGTTTATTTTCTCCGCAAACATTTTTTTCTTACACTTTCACGTTAGCAAACAGTTTATTTTCACTTTTCAGACCACTTCTTTTCAATATTTCTCATCCCCCCACCCCCGCCTCCAGAAAAATAATGGTCCGTCCCTTAACCACCGCAGAGACTGGTTGAAGAAATGGATTAAAACCATCAAGTTTAATTCACTTTAACGACATTGAACAATTATTGCTCCTAATAATTTTGCTTCTTTTCTTGAGCTTTTGACGACATAGAGGGTTTCAACGGTTGTCTTGTATACAATTTTTCTATTAGGTGCAAAATTTCTGCGGGGAGGTGTTATAGCTAGTGTATTATTACATTTATTTTTTGTTATCGGGTCAGTATTTCATACTAAGTCAGGAGTAGGTATGCGGTTACTTCAAAACCAATGTGCTTCTTAATTAACAGTTCTGAAGTTGATCCGCCATCTTGTGTACAGTTGTCCTATTTCTAGCAGTTTGTTCGAGAACATATCAATAAAGATTTATCAGCTTTATCTCTCTGTCTGAAAGGAAGGGCCAAAATGAAAAACCAACGGGCTGGTTTTTTTTTTTTTTTTTTTTTGCGTTCGCTACAAGTTCACTTTACAAAAACGTGCCAAAAAACCCCCTTAACGTGTACTAACCAGCCTTTTATACTCTTTACAGTAATTCGAAAAGTAAACAGTACTTTTACGCGACAAATTTGTCCAGACCATACACCGTAATTATTAGGAGTTTCCAGAAACGGCCCTTTGAGGAAAAGAATCAACTTGTTAATTGACAAAAGAAAGTAAGGTTTGAGGGTATAACTCTTTTCGATGAGCGGATAATGGTAGAAATTGGTGAAAAGGATTTAAATACTTCGGGGCTACTGAGGCAGATGTAATAAACGAAAAGGAGAAGAAAAGAGAGTTTGTAAGAGGGTAAAAAAGAAGGCTGAAACTAATGTTAAAATCAACATTGAATGGAAAGAATAAGGTTATAGCGATTTTTAAACACCTGCGCAGTGTCAGTGTTGATCAGGTATGAAGCAGGTAAGATGGACAAAGGAAGAACTGAAAACATTGGATTTTATGACTAGAATGGTGTTGACAAGAATGGTGCTTTCTTTTCAAAAAGAGATGTTGATAGGTTGTATGTATCAAGGGAGGATGGAGGTCGGGGACTGATAAGCTGTGAGGGGTATGTTAGAGGTGAGGAACAGTTTGGAGTGATATGTGAGGAATTCTTTGGACGTTTTACTGCAAGGGGTAATAGTTACTGGTAAAATTAAAAGTGAGAAAACTGTCAGTAAGAATGAATTCAAGACATCTTGGAACAATGAGCTGAAACTCGACAGTTGGAAGGAAAAAGGGCTGCATGGTCAATTTTTAAGAGAACTACCCGGAACAACACATGTAAGAGAAACTTGGAGCAGGTTAAGAAAAGCAGACTGGAAGATCCAAACAGAAGCACTTATTTGTGCTGGCAGGAACAGGCTCTCAGGACCAACCATGTAACTGATACCATATTGACAAGACGGCGCGAATCCCCCCGTATGTAGGTAATGTGGCGAGAAAGGCGAGGTTGTAAAGCATATTGTCTGTGAGTGTAACTGAAAAGTTAGCCCAAAGGGAATACAAACAGAGACATGACAGTATTGCAAAAGTAGTTCGTTGGAAGTTATGTGAGAAATATCATCTGGGAAAGAAGGATAAGTGGTACGAACACGTGGCTTACTGTGAGTAAAAACGATGAAGTTAAACTACTGTGGGATAATGAACATCCAATGTGGTCATGTCATCAATGCTACAATAGACATGATCATGTGGTTGTAAACAAACAGGGGATAAAGATTGTCGTAGGATCATTCGCAAGTGTGACGAAGAACTTGGAGAAGTGGCTGGAAAGTTGGACATAAGAATTAGCATTTTATTGCCCCCCAAAAAACTACGCCACTAGGAACGGAAAGGATTTTAAGAAAAGTATTAGAGGTCCAGAGTAAGGAGTCGAAATCTAAGGGTCCTTTTTTCATGGGTTATGACTCGCTCCCTTAGCAAGTACAAAGGTATAAGATCAGCCAGTGCACAAAGCAAGAAATAATAATGATAACAATGATAATAATAATAATTTTTCTGGCAATGCAGGCTTTTTAGGCGCATACAAAACATTTTGGGGTCGTCTCATTTTCACTTAAACCCATCAGGCCCAAACAACAGTGGTGTTTTGTATAGTTTCACCCTTATTAGGTGCGTCTCAGTTGATTGCACTTGTTTTGGCCACTTTCTCTAGGCCCTGTTAGGCTAAATTTCGACACTGAAGCGAAAGGGCCTTGAAACAGCGACATAGGGCAGCAGAAATGGCGACAAACGACGCAAAGGTGGGTTGAAACTGCTACAGTGACAGAGAAAAGCGCAAATACAATTGTGCCAAGTTTGCGCATTGCCACTTTGTTTCCTTCACGACTAACTATTAAACAATTTACACTTCTATTTAGAATCTGTTTCCTCAGACGATTGACCAATTTTTCGCCGGAAAAGCCTTAAGCAAAATAATTGTCTAATTTTCATGCATGCAAATTTTGTCTTTAAAAACGGCCGTCATGTTGGGTTAATCCAGGTGTTAGGTATTGTTTACGTTAATTTGAGCGTCACATAAAATTTTGCCAGATCTAATGTCGACCTTTTCCACATTCGAGGCTAACGGTAAACGCCAAAGTCTCATACGTTACACACTTTTCTTATATTAGACGGGATGTAAATTAATTCCTAAGGATTATATCAACTGCATCGCCAGAGGTAACCTGCCAGCAGATTATAACTCTTTCCTTGCTTGTAAAAAAAATTGCCACGTATATGTTGTAGTTAATTTTTTGTCTCAGGTAATTTTTATTTTTCTTTTGTTTCAACTTCATTAGCATACATTAGCATACCCAAAAACAAAAGAGAAACAAAAATTACCTGGGATAAAAAATTAACTACAACATATACTCAAGTATGGAACGTTAAGTCGTGTGCTTCGTTTTCAGCCGGGTTACGTCTTTCACTCTTCTCCTATATAGTCTATCGTACTTAAGGAACAAAAACAGTTTAGACCTACCCTTTTCACATTTTTCTCCTCTCCATTGCGGATTGCATGAACAAGCAAACGCATCTTTCCCTTCGTCGAACAAACAAGAACCTCCGTTAAGGCATCCAGCCATTAGGCAGCCCTGAGGAAAATGTTCATATGTTACTTCGGTGAGCTAAAATAATGATATATATCGTTTTCCATCGACTTCCTACAGCTTGCAGAGACTGATCCCTCGACATTTTTAACGGCACAACGCAAATCTAATGTTGAACATAAATTGCCGGTTCTGCGTTCCTCTTCTTTTAACATTTATAGTTGTTTGCATTCTGTACTTCTCTTAACTTTATTTTCAAAACATGTAAGCCTCTTGTTAGGGAAGAAAACATCGCCTTCGATAATAATGTGGCGGAACTGAAAAATTTGGGAAAGGAAAACATGCTCGCTCCCATACGAAACATATGACTGAAATGCGAGTGCTAGCTAGTGCTCTTTTACAACAACTCAACTTCACTGTTTTACCAAATTTCTATTTTTTTACGCAGTTTCGCTTTAACAGTTGTTGCCTTAGCCTGGGTGCACGAGTCTATTTCTTCTTGCACGCGGAAATTGGGCTCGTCTGCACACGCACGCCCTTGTTGTCTAAGCAATGAAAATTCAGAACTTTTCTTACCTTAAGAAACATTGAAAACGTTGTGCCTGGATTATCAGTGAGCTTGGTGTCATCATCAGTTGTAGAGAACTCATGCTTGTTCAGTTCACAGTTACCCGTGGACTCTTTGAAGTTAGAAGAGGTACACCAAGAATGCCTTAAACATGCTTGGCTGCATGACATTTCATCCGTAGAATCGATTTTCTTGACAACATAGCCATGTAAACGCTTGTTCTCTTGAGTTTTGATGTAGGCAGATCTAGAGTCTTCTTCGGCTGCTAAAACTGCGCCAACAATGAAGCAGAAAATGAGTGAGGAAATCATGTTACTTATCTCTACAATATTACAGCGCCGTTTTCGTGAACAGGGTGTGTCTGTGTAAAGGAAGTCCTCCGGTAAAATTTGTAGGGTTCATAAATATATACATAATTTTGTATATAGCAAGTTAATTAATACTTTGAGCTCGATTGACGCGTGTCCTTTCAGTGATTGACTTGTCCTGCCAATGTAGAGGATAGGACAAAATTAATAAGCTCGTTGCCGTTTTAGCGAACAATGCTGAAAACGCCTAGGCCGGTTGAGGACATCGGAATTCACAAAAATAATGTGTCTCCTGTTGAATGGTGAATATAAATACTTTGCTGTTGAAAAGAAGTGCTGTAACAGCTTTACTCTACCGCAACACTGCGACGTTTAACAGAGCATTCTGACAAAAGGCTTTCATAATTGTCGTATATCAAAAAGTTAATATCTAAAAATTGAGAAATGTTAATTACACAACGGTTCTTGCAAACACGCATTTTAAATTAAGTTACCAGCAGCGTAGTAGTAGCATAGCAAGGAGGATGCTGCTATGTAAATTTAAGTTTGCTTAATGTTTAAACCTCATTTACAACACAGTTAAAATTTAATGATTTAGTTAATGGATAGTTCAAAATTCTAAAATATGTTTCGATTGATAAGTTGCTGTGGTCAACTATGAACATCGGTATATAATTTTATCTTTAACAGCGAGAATAAAGATATACTGTTTAATAACTTTCAGTCCAAAAACTGTAGTTCTGAACATCAATTAACAAGTGGCACCTGAACATCCCACATATTAAACAAACTGGTAGTCTTATGCAGAAACTGATGGCGTTATTGTGACAGCAATTAGCGCAAGGAGGAGAAACAGAGATGTTTTAAAATTCATCATAGTTTTAATTTAGCAGTCAATTCGCCTTTACTGCAAATACTTCTGGATCGTTTATGGTCAACTTAATTTCATTATGATTATCCTGCGAATACAGCCATCTCTGGCGAGGTGCGAGGATACAAGGCTCTACAAAAATTAGTACATTTTCAAAAAATTACGAATAGGGAGTTCCAAAGACGATAAATAAAAAAGGAAGGGCAATGGATAAAAACAATTACAACAACAATGAAACAGTTTTTAAAATTGACATGGACATCTTATAGTGTTATTTATTTTATAAAGGAGGACAGAAAACGCAATTGCTTGAAATGTCAATTTTGCCTGTTTTTCGTATCAGTTAACGTAAAACAAGTCAGGCGCACGCACATTCTATCAATGGATTGATTCCATCCAAATTGAATCGTTTTCGATATCGAATCCATTTCTGTATTCCCGCAGGTGTAACGAGCAGTGAATTTACACACCACGTAGTTAGGAAAATTCTGGTGGCTGAAGGTAGAAATTTTATCCACAAAAGTCAAAAGATTTTTTAATCTGACCAACTAAAGAAGATGTATTTACCGAGCGATAGCGAGGTCAATACATCAAGGCCTCGGGGTTAGAAATAAAAAATTCACACCGTATTAACACATGCAGAATTGCAACTTTGAATGTGATACCAGTAGTAACTAGCATATAATTTTATTCACATGTATTTTTCTTTTGTTAACGAATATGTGGCCGCTTAGACTGGTTGCAACGCCTCAGTTAAGAAAAACAAGTGACTGGTCATTCTTTGTTAGTTTGAAAATATCTTATTAAGAAAAACAAGATTTTGCCTCCAATTCGACAGCTGATTTATAAATGTTGAAGTTCAATTTTATCCTTGGTTCAAATTTTCTTTTCTTTTGTTTCAAACTCATTATCATGTTATTATCATACATTACCATACCCAAAAACAAAACAAAAGAAAATTTGAACCAAGTATAAAATTGAACCACAACATATACTTCCAAAACGTGCCTGCATGATGTTATTCCGGACCTATTAAAAATCGTTTTATTTTTCGGAAAAGAACCCGCTCAAGTTTTCCATCATACGTAAGTTGACTGTGCGCTCGTTTTTTGTCATCGAATGGACCTCTTTCCTTTTCTTAAATTTGACTATCTGAAAACACTTTTTAGAAACTGACGATGCGTGGGTGTCCTATGTTTAAGTGAGCGGAATAATCGCTCTAGCTGGAGAAAAGTTACTTGAAAAAACCTCTTGGAAAAGTTATAACAAATGAACCAAATAATCCGAAGAAGTCCTTTCACTTTTATTTTTGATTAAACTTGTTTACTATTTTTCGTAATGAATTATTCTTCGCTCATGTTATTTTTAATACCAGATTCAATAAAAATAAGAAGGCAAATAATTTTGTTTGTTATTGATCTCAGCACAAAGCGTTCATTTTATTTCATCCATCGAGTGGCTTTGCTGATTTTAAGGGAAAGGCAGAAGGAAAAACTGTATGCACATATGCAGAAGCATAGTGTTTATGTTTATAAAATATGGGCACTGTGTCGCTTTTACTCCTTTCGACTTCCTTCTCCCTAAACAAGAGACAAAGAGACATCAATCTTACTCTCTGTGCTTCATGCGAACACCAACGAATTTTATTTTGGTTAGTTTGAAATGTATTAACTGGAATTAACTAGAGCAATATATCATTTTTTTTTTATCTCATTCAATTTTTAATGTTTGTTGAATTTTGTTGCCTATTCGGGTAAATTTGGGAAAGAAGTAATACTGAGAGGCGAGGTTTGGACATTTTTAGCCCTTGCCCTGAGTACACGTTTCGCCAAGATATTATTAAAAACGCATTAATCGAATGTTACCAATAGCTATTACCCAAGGAGATCGTGATAACCGTTTTCTGTTTGTGAGAAAATTACCAACAGCGAGTATAATGCTATGTAAACTCACGCAGCAAACGAGTATTAAACTGACAGTCAATAGAACTCAGTTCAATTAAACATTTTGGCAAAACTACAGACAGCTGAAAAGAAGGGAGGTCTTATTTCATAAGATATAGCTTATTAGAAACCGGGTTACACGCTATTATAGCAAAAGACAGATATTAACTTTTGCTATAAAGAAAAATTATGTACGAAATAATAGATCAGATATATTTAGAGGTTTCTCTTTTCTTCTGTAACTTAATTTGTTCTATTTGTCAGATATTTTGCTATCGATCGATCAGATCCTCAAAAACACCGTTTCCTACTAGTTTAAAAAGCTTACGAAAAGTCAGACAATTCATTCAAACAAAAACAAACAAAATACATCGTATGAACTAATTGAGTGGAAGATACAGATGGCCCATCGATTCAGGACATTTCATGTTCCCCCTCTCCCCACCCCCAAGGTAAAAAGTAGACCTTTTGTTAAGATTTCCGAAGAGTACTAAATGTTTCTTTGAAGTTAGTTTAAGGTTCTGGGCACTAAGCACTTCAGCTATTACCCAAGATCATGGTAACCATTTTCTGTTTCTCAGGGGGTTTAAGGCCTGGGTCAAAGATGTATCCTGAGCAAATGAATAATTGGCAATATCTCTCGCTAGGAGACCTAGAACAAAATGAACTTTTCCCCAAAGGTAAATCTTAAGGTTTTCTTGTGCCTTAACGTTTAATTATGGTCACGTGGCATGTCACGTGACCAAAAATTGAAAATGAAGGAAATTGGCGAGTTGGTGGCGAATTTACCTTGTTTCGATAAACAAATTGGTATCGCTGAAAGAAGATAAGCATACCTAACTTTCTACGTTTGGAATGAACGTACGCAAAGTTTAAAATTAAAGTTTTAAATAATTCAAGATTAAATTTGGGCCGGATTGAAAATGATGTTTTCCCTCCTAATTTTTTTTGAAGTGCAATGGACGGTCATTCCAAACGTGAAGTGTTAGAAATATTTAGCCAAAATTAGAAAAATGTTTTTTCCACATTTCTTTTCGTAAAGCGGTCACCAATTGGTCAATAATTTACGATTTTTAGCAAAATGGTCACGTGACATATCACGTGACTTATTAACACAATGTTTATACTTTAAAATGTTAAGGACGATGAGTTCTTTATGTGTGCCAAATTTAAATTAACTGCCATCATCTATGCCAAAGTTATCGCAAATAATTCATTTTCCGCAAGTACACGCCTTAGTCCCAGGCCTTAAACTACTTGAGTTGTAAGAATATTTGACAAATTAATCAGCTGCGAGTGCATTTTGTAAAATCTAAAATCATGTTGCCCCAGCAAAATCTGGATTACTGTGTTTGAACAGAATCGAACAAAACGGTGACAAAACAGGACACAGGAACAACACAGCAACAAAAAAAATCAGACAAGCCGAGGGAGGATGAAAAAGCCTTTGTGTCATGTTGCCATGGTAGAAATTCAAAAATTTCTGGATCTCAACACAACTGTGTTCCTCTTTTGCAAATATGGCAAAGAAAAAACGAAAAAAACTGACATGTGTGACTTTCTGTTTTGGTCATCATGTCTGCATGATTGCGACCAATGCCTAAGTGGAAAAACAGGAGGAAAAAGCTCGTACTGGACGACTTTACCAGTTAAGTTGAAGTAATTTTTTGTTGTGCTTAATACTAGAACCGGCTGCAAACCATTAAACATATCAAACATTCTTAAGTGTTTTTCAATTTAAATGAGGAAGATTTTGCAAATTTTAATTATTGAAAATAGAGACCTTGCGCATGCGCAGACGTTTTGCACGCGTGTCGGGCACATGTGCTTACAGAGCAGTGGCGGATTCAGAGAAGGGGCCCGCCCCCCCCTCCCCTAGTTTTGGACGAAAGCCGAGGCCCACATGGCTGAGGCAAACTGATCCCCCCCCCTTGCCCCCCTTACCTCAAGGTCTGGATCCGCCACTGCAAAGAGCACCAGAGAATGGGAATGAGAATGGGGTATTTCAGTTCTGGTCTGCAGTAAAGAAATCATCTTCTACCTTGTTCTAAAAAATAGCTCTAAAACCCGTGGAGTAGGAACAAGCTCTCAACAGTCTTTTCATTATCTCTGAAGCACACCCATAAAAAGAAAAAATGTGAGTGAAATGGCCAGTGTGAAGAATCTCAACAGGAGACAAAATAGCCCTG